GCTGAATTAAGTAAACTAAATGAAATCTAAAAACTTTAAAAACATTTCCAAACATTTTCAGGTTTCATTTTAATGTTAATCTAAATATAAATAAACTAATAAAAATGACAAAACCGCATAGCAAAACTTGAACTAAAATGAAAAGAAAACAAAAAATACAAACTAATAAATGCTTTAATAATATAAAAAAAATAATACTACGATAGCACGTGTGCACAGGATTATGTTTCAGTGGGCGGAGTGTTTCTGTGGTCATGTGATCTCTCTCTCACTGAGACGGACACCTCTCTGCCTCATTTACTGACTCTCTGCTATTGCTATTCTGCTGGTGTTAGTTTCTCTGGATGGCTGCCGGCGGAGGTCCGTCAGGGTCCTAACGAGCGAGTCCAGAGCGGCTGGGCCTGTCAGAGCAGAGCCGTCATTAGCAGCACACACTGATGACCGGCACTGACCACACACACGGATACAGCCGACTGTGACAGAGAGAGACGGATAGATGACCGCAGCGGCTGCACTCAAAAAATCAGCATTTGCTGAATATTTACTCCCATCAAAGATGTAGACGAGTTTGGACAGATTTGGAGAAGTGTAGTATTACATCTCTTGCTCTGCAGTGAATGGGTGCCGTCAGAATGAGAGATTATGGAATTATATTTTAGTCATGGATTTGTTGCAGCTTTTGTCTTCTCCAGATGTTAACTGATGGACTGGAGTGGTGTGGATTGCTTGTGGATTATTGTGATGTTTTTATCAGCTGTTCGGACTCTCATTCTGACGGCACCCATTCACTGCAGAGCATCCATTGCTGAGACACTGATGCAATGCTGCATTTCTCCAAATCTGATGAAGAAACAAACTCATCCTGATCTCGGATGATCTGAGGATGAGAACATTTGCACCTAAGTTTCATTTTTTGGTGAACTAATGCTTTAAGATTTTTCTTTAAGAAGTTTACTTGAAATTAGACTTGACTTCTGAATCAGAATGAGAATTGTCTATTCAAGTTTCACAGTCAAAACCTTTGTGAAAGGATGGTTTTGGTTGTTAGTTTTTTTGGACCTCAATTACTACTTTGTTGCAGCACTGAACAGAAACAGTGCGAGAAACACATTTTACTTTAGATGCTATTTATACTTGGTTTTAGTTCATTGCTCTCCAGTGAGCAAAGAGTCAGTTAAAGAAACATCAAGTAAATGTTTTTATTTTGTATCTGTGCAATTAATTTTGAACATAAAATATGTTGGTCAAATTAACACAAAGGGAGCAACTACTTTCTTTTTTAACACAAAAGGAGTACATCATTTCTCATATTTTATGTTGTTTAGTCTTTGACAAGCTGCAACCGAGGTTTTCTGTTTTTTTCATGAATCTTTATTTTTATTTATATATA